ACCAAGGAGGACCCTGGAAAAGCAGGCAGGCAGACAGAAGGAAGAATTGAGCAGGGCACACAGATGGAGGGGTGGGACAATCCTGAATAGGACAGGATATTTGTCCCTGTACCACCCCCCTGACCCAGGTCCCTGGGACTCACGTGGGAATCCTGAGAAGAGCAGGATGCAATAAAAGAACCTGTGAAAACGAAAGAGCCAGGCCATTGGAAGAAGAACAGATCGGAGTTGGGCCAGCAGCTGCTGCTGAGACAGGAGATGCCACTTCCACATGAGCCACAGTGTCCACATCAGGCGCAGGGCATGCGGGCAGACCTTGCAGGGCAGGCTCAGCAGACCGGCTCTGGTCAGCAGCCTGCACCTTTGGCAGGCACTGGAGGTGTTACTGATGGCTTGAGGGTCAGAGGATGGAACCTGGAGTTGGGAAGGAAGAGAAGGCCAGTGCCCCAGAGTGGCCAGGATGCCTCGGGACGGCACGGGAGGGGTTTTCGGCCTTCCCACATATGTGTTTTTTTACGAGTATCTCTGTAGACCGTAACATCAGTGTGAGTGCCCCGAAATGCTCCATTTTTCTCTCATGCCCACCCTGGGTTAATGACACACAATTCATCAACATGTTAAAGTTTCAGTTCTTAAAAGAATTAGATACTTTCCAAAGGAAACATAAGTTAGAGACCATGTAAAACCATTATGAAATATGTCAGCAGATACAATCCAGACACACGATCTGGTTTAAGCTTTGCTCTTTCTTGTTGTGTGTGGCCTTCGTGTCCTTGTTTGCAAGACAGGGGATTGATCTACATGATCCAGAAGGTAACTGTTAGCTCTCAGCTTCCTCCCCCGAGTCAGCCACACAGTTAGCTGCTTATTAGGCTGAGGGCAGAAGGCTGCCTGCATATGAAATAATCAGAAGGTAAACATCTGGTAAGAAGGCATGTTTGGTTTAGGACCTGGCCGAGAACTTAGGGGGGACACTGGCTTGGAACATTAGATGATGCTGACTAGAAAGGGGAGAAAGGCTTGTGATGAGGGATAGAGGCCGCCAGTCCTCAGGTAAGAGGGGTGAATTGAGGTATTGATAGGGCTCTTGATAAGGAAGCCAGAGGAGGTGTTTGGCAGAATTTTGGTGTGGTGGGCATGTCCTGTCTCAGCATCACAGCTTGTCCACAGCAGAGTCACTTTGAAAGGGGGACCCAAAATCCTACACATTGAGTTGGGTCTTTAGATGCTGAGGAGCCTGAGGGCACATGCCTGAATGTGCCCATGAGCATAAGAAAATTTGGAAAATATAGAAAAGTACACAGAAGAAAATGGAAATGACCCACAATCCCATTATTTACAGGTAAAACTTGTTAACATTTTGCCAAATTCCTTTTCTGTCTTTTTTTTTTTTTTTTAAATATTTTTATTGATTTCAGAAAGAGGAAGGAAGAGGGAGAGAGAGATAGAAACATCATTGATGAGAAAGTCATTGATCGGCTGCTTCCTGCATGCCCCCTGCTGGGGATCTAGCTGGCAAGCCAGGCATGTGCCCCGACCAGGATTCAAACCGTGATCTCCTGGATCCTAGGTCAATGCTCAACTGCTGAGCCACGCTGCCAGGCCCTTTTCTGTCTTTTCTTATATAGATCTGAAATATTACTCGATGGCAATGTACAATTTTACCCTACTTTTTTCTTCCCTTAATATATATGAAAGGAAATATAATCTGGTTACTTAGCATTTTTAACATAGGTTCATCGTAATTAACTTGAACATTCTTCCTTTGTTGTAAATTTATACTGTTACGCATATTTTCTATTATAAATAATTTTTAAAGAAACATACAGTGTGTCCCCCAAAAATGTATGCACACCGACAGCTGATAGCTCAATTTTGAAAATGAAATGTATTTTAATAAACACTGCCTTTATAATTATTCAAAGTGTGCGTGTTGATTTTTTGGGACACCCTATATTTGCGCAGAAATAAGAAGCTGGGTTTCTGATTATTGAGCTAGATTCTTTGAAGGACATGCACATTTTAGTAACTTGTTACCTATTCCTTCTAACCTTTCAGTGAGCACTGGCTGATGGAAGCACATCCCAGGTTCCACGGCTATTGAGAAAGGAGTAAGGGGTGGCAAGAAACCTTGGGGAGCTCATATGCTTGCAGGGGACAGAGACAAATGCTTATAATAAGCAGCCCCATGTGTCAAGATGTGGGAAGGTCCTGGTGTTGCCAAGACAAAATAGCAGGAGCTCCTAACCCTGCCATTGGGGGCCAGGAGGCTTGCTGAAGGAGAGATGTGCCAAGGACAGTAAGGATCACCCGGGAGTGCTGGGCACTGGGAGAAGGTGTGGAAATGGGAGGTATGAAGATTTTTGGAGAGAGAACAGTTGCATGCAAGCTACTGAAAATGACTGAAAGAGGCACGGTAACGCTGAACTATAAGGTATCAGAGACAGGAGCCTGTATAAACCAGCAAGGCTATATTACAAGAATCTTCTGAGTCATTTGAGGAGTATGGTCATTATCTTGGGGACAATAAAGAGCCACTGAAATGACTTCAGTGGGAGAGGGGGGTGATCAAACCTGTATTGTATGAAGGTCACTCGGGCTGCCAAGTGGAGAGCATATGAAAGGTGGGAGGAGCCCAGAAGCAGGGAGGTGAGCTGGGAGGCTGTGGAAGTAACCTAGGTGAGAAAAAAAAAAAAGGTCATTTAAATAAGAGAGTGGCAGTGAGAGTGGAGGGGAACAACTGCCAGGTTAATAGGAAGTGACATCAACAGGATTCAGTCGCTGATTAGACACAGGGAAAGTGGGTGAGTGCAGAGTGGGTGAAAGTCCCTGAGCTTGTCTGGTGTGTATG